TTCGTTCTGCTGTGCATGGGGTCGCTATGAGTCGGAAACGACTCGACGGCACTTAACAACAACAACAACAATAGCATGAAAAATATGAAGACAGTGACAAATCTAATAAACTATGTGGGCTCTCTCTTTGGGGTTTCTGGGATTGGTGAGAACACCTATGTCTGTACTCCGAAAATAAAACATTGCTGAAAGAAATTTAAAAATACCTACTACGTAAGTGGAAAGATATACCGTTTTCATGGGCTATGGACTCAAATTTATTAAGATACCAATTCTCCCCCAAATTATCTATATATTCAATTAAATCTCAATGAAATCCTAGCAGGAATTTTTATTTTTGTAGAAACTGACAAGATGTCTTTAAAATTCACATATAAACGCAAAAGTTCTAGATTAACCAAAAATCTTGAAAAAGATGACAAAATTTGAAGACTAACACTACTTGACTTCAAGATATCCGGTGTCAAGATAGATACATTCTCAGAATAGACTAGTATATGTACAGAACAAAAGCAGACATTTGACTGTGAAAGTATCTGCTAGAGCATTTATCAGGCTCAACATTGACACAGATAAAAGGTAGCTGCAGAATTAACAAGAAACAATACTTCTCCCAAAGATATTCTGCACTTGTAAAAAGTCAAGGTGATTTTAGATGAGTATTGCACTCTCAGGAGAAACTTTCACCTCTAAAATAATAAATAATCAGAAACTTTCTTTGAAAATATATCAGTAAGAATGAAACATCCCTTTCTTACTTGGAGGATTTAAGCACTTTGGAATAGATAATCAGTTTCAAAATTCAAATCTTTTTGGCTATAGACAAGGAGTTGATGGAGCATTAGAGCTTAAATTCTAAAGCCCTTCCTTGGTTTGTGGAAATTTGCAGACTATAGCGGCAACTCAACTCCATTTTGGATCTTGACTTAAGTTTAGATGCCATTTGATTTCTTTATGTTACTTCCCCAAGACTTGCTGGACATTAAATCAACAACGTGGCTGTGCTTAGACAAGTCTGGGACAAGCTTGTGGAGAGGCAGTTTGCTGTCCACAAGAATGTAATTGAAGAATGTAATTGAAAGTAGCTTATGTAGAAAGTGGATGCATCCCATTACATACATGTTTTCAATATACAATTGCTAACAATCTATTATCTTTCAGGGCAGAGAGAGGTTTATATTAGGAGTCCAGAGCCAACGGAAGTGCTAATCTATTTCTAGGACCCTGGAAGATAGCTTTGTATTTTCTTAATGATTATATTTCAAAAGAGATGGATCCTAGGTCCTTGAGGAAACATCCTTGATTTACGTACTTTTTAAAAAGGCAAAAAAAAAAAAAAAAATAGTATGTATAGTTATAAGTTTTCTAAAGTAAATGCTTATAAACCTCTTATTTTAAATTTGTCTTTGCTCTTAATACTTTCTCCAATCCCTGGTAGCATAGTGGCTAAGACACTTGCCTGCTAACCAGACGGCTGGCGGTTCAAACCCACCAGCCACTCCTCGGAAGGAAGGTTGGGCAA